TGTAGAGCGCGATGAGGTCTCCCCTCAGCCTCCTCTTCTCCAGGCTAAACAGCCCCAGTTCCCTCAGCCGCTCCTCATCAGACTTGTGCTCCAGACCCTTCACCCTTCATCATCTCTGCAGGGCACTGCTCACGTCTTCACCTCTAACAGCTGCCTTTACCATCGCTCCTTGCGTGGTTTGCCTTCCCCTGGAATCGAGAGGGGAAGCAGGGAAGATCATTTCTTATGTTCAGGTGGTTGGGAATTCAGCCTGTGGTTCAGTTCCTGGAGAAGAGGCTGGGAAACTCTTTTAAATAGAAGCACTTATCTGAAAATAACTCACCTGAAATTGCATGGGCTTTGTGTGTGGCTTTGGGGTTTCGTGAGCTGCGCTGGCTTAGTGTTGCTCCAGCTGCATTTCTAGCCTGACCGTATATCTGTGCTAGTTCAGTGACACAAGACGGCCTCAGTGCTGGCGATGAGGTAGATAATGCAGGAGGCCAGAAGATGGTCCTTTCTGGGTCTTGGACTGTCTCACTCCCCAAACCCCCCGCTCTGTGCCTCAGTTTCCCCATCCCTAGAACAACTGGTGATGCTGAGCTTGCTCTCAAGGGTGCCTGAGGTTTACAGCCGACTAAAGCAACAGAGACTCTCAGATGGGATGCCAGAGCACATAAACACCCTCCTGGCACCTTTGGAATAGTCTTCCAGCAACTTGCATCCCCCTCCAGCCCCGGGCTTATAGGGGGCGACAAGGCACACACAAGCAGCTTTGTCATTAAATCCCCCTTCCCCTTCTCTGCGTGGGCGCAGGGGATTGCAGAGCTGTGCTGTGCTTGTCTTGTGCAAAGACCCTGGTCCCCGGACTGCTGCTTGCGCTGGGGGCACAACATCTCCTGGATGCTGGACTCCTAGCAGGACCACATCCTGCAGAAAGCAGTCCTTCACCCTCCCAAAGCCTGCCCTGCATTCCCCTTGTGCTCTTGGCTCAGATTTAACAGGAAACATGTTGTCTTGTTGATTCAGCAATCCATGAAAATGCCTTCATCGTCTTTATCACGTCGGCTCTGGGCCACATGCTCCTGACATGCATCCTCTGGAGAATGACTAAGAAACACACAGTAAGTCCCGAGGTACAGAAACTTTCCTTTCTTCTGTCTGTGCAGTGCTGGGTGCTGGGGAGGGGGCTCTCGGCTGGTGGTGGAAGGCTTCAGCTGTGGCTCGCTTGTGAAATAATCGTAACCGGGTGCTAAAGGAGTTAACGGCACCAGGTGAAACTGGGAAACGTGGTCACCAAAATTCGTGGTTTACCAAAACAAAGTGGGGAGGAATCTTTTAAATTCCTATTTTTTGATTTTCACTTAGAGCTGACATTTGAAAACCTCCCCATTAGTGTCCCTGGGGGTGGGGTTTGCAGACCGCTTCTCCTTGCCTGAGGATGCCTGTTTCTGAGCTGAAATTGGCTTCTCGGTGCTGGGGAACTGGGAACCTGCTGGTCCTGGAAACTGGGAACAGCTGCCAGCAGCGGGCAGCAGGTGTCATGTTACCCCTTTCCTCCAGGAATTGCTGCACTGAGCAGACTGGCTGTGGCTCTTGTTCTCTCTGAGGGGGCCGGTGGGCTCAGGGACTCACTGGTCATGCAGCGGGTCAGGCAGAGGATCCAGCCTCGGGCTTCTGGCTCCATCGCCTGGATGCAGCTTTGGTGCCGTGCTGGTTTGTGGCATGAGTGCTGGACTGAGGGCACCGACACAGCCGCAGACCGGCAGGGCAGGACATCCAGCTTTGAAACTCCGTATGCAAAAGCTGCTTCTGCGTGTGTGTGCCTCTTGTATGCTTGGCTTTGCCTGGGTCTCTGGGCTCCCTGGACCTCTGTCCTTTTCTCTTTGGGGATGTGTCTCACCCAGCTGATCCCCAGTCCAACCCTCACAGTCCCCAATAATAAACGGGGAAGGGTCCTCAGGGCTCCCTGGACTGTGTTGCCCCAGGAAGGTGATCGCTTTACAAAGCAGAGACCTTCAGGGGAAGCTGGCGAGGTCTGGGAGCAAGTCTCTCCGAAGGGACTGCATACAGGGATACAGGGCAGGGTGGGTGCTGTGCTTGGGGTCTGCTCAGATGAGCTGACCGCTTATGGAGCAGGGTGGGTGCTGTGTTTGGACTCTGCTCAGACACGCTGCCCATGTATGAGCGGGATGAGCGCTGTGCGTGGGGTCTGCTCGGACAGTTACAGAGAGTGCCTTGCTAAGGCTCCTGCTCCATCACGTCTGTTTATTGTCCCCTTCCGGCAATTCACTGAGCCCGTCCCCTTGCTGGCTTATTTCAGAGACCTGGAAGAGAAGCTTCCAACAGTTCTTTGGCTGCAAGATGCCCTATGAAAGGGGCTTTTGGAGATCCAAGGGTTCCCCTCTCTCTCTCTCTGGGAAGTGATCTGTTGTCTCTCGTGATATGGGAATAATGGGAGCTCAGCAGTCGCTCCTCGACTTCCTTTATGTCATCTTTGTTGGCTTGTCTTGGTTTTTTTGCAAGAACTCCAAACCCCTGCATCTCTCCCTCCTCCTAGCACTGCACCTCAGACGATGGCTCCCCGAGCAGCAGTCACCCCCAGGGAGCACCTGTCTGCAGGCATTGCACCTTTGCAGACTGTAGCATTGCAGCAAGCCCATGAGTTTTGTTTGCAGCGTGTTAGCAGCAGCGCTAGTCCTGCTGTCAGCTTGCGGGAGCAGAAAACCAGATGCTGGCTGTGAGCTGGGCATGGTGGCTGTTCCCTGGGCTGAGCTCTGAGCTTGTGCGCCCCGATGGTGACGGGTACACGTCACTGCATGTAGCAGGGACTGCAGGCAGAGAGCTCTGGTATAACGCATCCCAGACCCATCACAGCATCAGAGCTGGAGGATCGCGTCAGGGAGGTGAGCAGTCTGCCTCTAAACATCTGGCTTTTCTCTGCTGGTAATTCAGGTGGGTTTCTCCCAAGCTCATGTTAGGGAACACTGTGAGCAAAGTCCCGCCGGCAGTGTTTTGAGCTGGTGCACCCTGCCGCCATCTGGCAGCACTGCTGCCTGCAGGTTGCCCTCCTCTGCCGTGTCACCTGCTGGGGCTGGTTCATTACCTGCTCCTGAGGAGCTGAGGAAAGCAGGCAGGAGGTGCTGGCATGGCTGTCCAGAGCCTGTCCCATGTGTCTGCACGTCCACGGCTGGTCTGTGAAGCTGCTGTGGGATGGTGGCCTTGCTGGAGCTCTGCTGGGGGAGCAGCCGACACCCACAAAGCCTATGGGCTCGGTGTCTTTGGGTGCTGTCACCTGGGCTCTTGTGCGCCTGCTGGTGCTGGAACAGCCTGTGCATCTCCTGCTCCAGTGGTGCTGGGTGGCTTGTTTTGGGCATGGGCTGAGGGGCACAGCAAACCTGGCCCCCCGTCCTGCAAGACTCACTTGGGCTGGGGGCTGCTGCCAAGCTGCAGCGTCTCCGGTCATGTGCCGCAGTGGGCAAGGTGGCAGCTTGCCACTCCTCGTTACCCTCTCTGCGATGCTGCAGGGCTCAAGCTGTGCTGGGGTGCTCCTGCCTCCTGGTGCACATGCCCAAGCCCAGCAAAGGAGCATTTGCCCCCTCTGAGGACGTGTCGACCACAGCACACCCCTGGGTGGAAGTGCGGGGGGGCACAGTGATGCCCTGGCTGAACGTGCCACCACCCGGCACGGTGCCACCGCCTGGCCCGGCTTTCTCCTCCCATCTTGGAAAGGCCCTGCTGATGGAGGGGAGCTGCCTGCAGGGGTGCATGGTCTCCCCCAAAGCTGGGTGTCTCTCCGTGGAGAGAGGACCCCTTTGGGGCCAGCCCTGACCTGGAGCCAGGGCTGCCCCTGCCCGGGGCCGTGGTGTCCCCTGCGCCAGCTCCCTGCGGGGCCGTGTGTCGGCAGATGGAGCTGTCGCCCGGGGAGCGAGGGTGATG